GAAAGGCGCTGTGTGGAGCTCTGTAGTGCCAGGACAGGTGGGAGTGCTGGGGCATCAAACCCCGTCCTCTGAAGCAGCTCCCCGCCCAGCAAGAAGGAATTAAATCCCTGTGTTGTATCAGGCTGTTTTGTTGTTCCCATTGTCTGTGATCCCAAAGCTCCAACATCCCTTGTCCCAATAACTCTGGTGACTGCACAGCATGAGCTGGCCTTGCTTTAGGAGGGGGAGCCAGCATTCTGAATTCTGACAGAAAGCCAAAGAGCTGATTTCCTTTTCTTTTCTTTCTCTAGATGTCACAATGGCAAAATCAGCAAAACTTATTCAACAGCAGCTGGAGAAAGAGCTGTAAGTATGGAATGGGATCTCGATTCCTCTGAGCTTCTCCTCTTGTCTTTTCTCTTACCTCAGTGCTTGGTGAGCTCCCTTGAGCCATGTCTGAGTTCAGTTGGCAAAAAAGCAGTCTCTTTTGTCTGGGGGCTCAGCAGTGTTGGCTTTACAGTTGGGCTCGATGATCTTAGAGGGCTTTTCCAACCTGAATGATTCCATGATCCAGTAACCCCTTTGGCCAGCAGACGGCAGCAGGGATATTTGTGCTGGTTTCTCTCCCAGGCTGAATATCCGACCTTCCTGTTTTTAAGGCAGGAATTAATTGCCACATATTCACATTCTCCAGGGAAATAAGCATTGCTTGGTTCTGGTGTTGAGCATTTTCCAGTTGCCCTGCGTGCAGATGTTGGGTTTCTAGGCAGGTCACATGTGCCCTGTTACCACTGTTATTCCTGCAGGCTGGCTGATTGCTGCCATCCTTCCCTGGCAGCTGCCATACTCGGATGTCTATGAGTGGAAAACCCAAGGAAGTGTCTGCTCACTTATTCCTGAACTCTGGGTGTGTTATTTCCCTTTGCCCCTTTAATTTAGCTCCATTCTGTGAATAAGGAATATATGGGAGCAGTGGGGGCACTCGATCCCCCTCTCAATCCTCAGATTGGCACACCCAGGCACTGTGTCAGGGATCCTGCTGATCCCTGATGCCATAGGTGCCTCTCCCTTCCCAGTTAACCTGTTAAACTGGCACAGACCCTGAGGACTGTAGGCTAAATCTTGTGTAATTCCTGTGATCAGTGGGGAAATTGAGCTGAAGACATCATCACCTGACTCGTGCTGCTGTTTATTGCAAAACCAAACCTGCTCAAGCACCTCTCCTTAAGTGCCCTCCTGCCTGTCTTGCTCTCTTGAACCTCTGCACTTGTGACTTCCAGTGGTGGCCAAAGCTCCTGCCTGTGCCTCCCAGGGCAGAGCCCTGGGCCTGCTGTCCTTGGTGTGGCTGCATCCTGCTGGCAGAGCTGCATCCCAAGCATCTCAGCAGCCACAGTATTCCCCTGGTTCCCAGTTCCTGACCCTCTCCCCTCTCTCTCTGCAGCAATACCTTACGGGTGACCCGCTCCGCAGCCCCCACCAGCCTGGACAGCTCAGGGGGTCCTGCCCAGCTGGGCAAGAAGGGCAAGGACTTCGACTTCTCCCAGCTGCCTATGAAGGTGGAATTCGTGGAGTGCAGTGCTCGGGGCAGCAAGGGGGAGGAGGGAGATGCTGACTTGGAGGGCCTGGAGAAATGGCTGCTGAAGGTTGCCTGAACAGGGAAGGGCAGGGCTTGGGGGGCAGGACGCTTGGGGGCTGAAGGGAAGAAGATAGTCTGGAGCACTTAAATCTCATCTGGCTGTAGAAAGAAGGACCTGAAGCTGGAATTGAGCACTGTGGGAGATTTTCCCAGATTGTGTCTCGTTGCACATTGCAGTGTCCTAGTGCAGGAATATTTTTCCCTTTTTTTTTGTGCCTTTCTCTTGTTTTAGAGTTGAGGGAGTGGCTGGCTCCTGGCAGACTCTTTTTGTCCTTTGCAGACCCCTCCTCTCCAGTTTGGTGCTTCCTCCATTGCTCAGCTCATCTGTTGTGTTCTTTTCTTTGGGGCTTTCCCTGTCTCCCTGTAGCATTACTAAGTGTTGGGAAGAGCAGGAACAGCCTTCCCAAAGCCCTGTGCCCATAACAAAGCTGATCCTTGCATTTCTAGTCTCGGGAACCCAGTAGCTCTTCCACTATCCATGCAGGAGGTGGGGAGGGTTATATTTACCAAGGATATTATATTCTTCTATTTCCTGCAGCCAGAGTCTTGTCAGAACATGTTTGTCATGCTTTGAGCTCTTTTAGCTGAAGATCCAAGGCTGCCTGCTTCAAATCCGTGGTGCCCATGGTTTTGGGCAAAAAATTGCTGGTTTTTTGTGTGGTTGTTCTTGTGAAGATGCATCTCCTTGAAAAGCAGAGGCCAAGCACCAGCCTCTGTGTAAGGGGGATGGAAAGGTACCAATGAGGCCACGATTGGTTTTAAGTTATTCTTTTTAAAAGTATTCCTGAAATAAATTTTTTTTTTTTGCTTAAATGTTTGTTCTCAAGTCTTGCTTTAGTCTGTGTGTTTGCCTTGGCCCTTCTCACCGGTGTCAGATCCAACTGGATGGGGCTCTGCTCCTGCTCAGCATGTTTGGGATCAACCTTCCTCCTCCATGGCCAGGTCTGTGTTGTCAAAAAGCATCCTCTTCTGCACACACAGGGCTTTGGGGTTGGGTGTTTCTGGGTGTGCGTTTGCACCTTAGTCTGAATGTTAGAGAATTGGGAAATTCATTGATAAATTGACAATCACATAGCAAAAAAATGACTGAAAAACGTTGAAAGGAGACACTTTGCTGACATGCACGGGGAAAAGCCCAGCCAGCTGCAGGGCATGGTGGTTTAGGTGACAGAACACCACTGCTGTGCCATGGAGGTGACTGTGGCACCCCATGGCTTCACAGCTGGGTGGAGATGGCTCAACTTTCCCTGCAGGGCTGTGTGGCTGAGCTGGAGCTGCTCCCAGAACTGCCCATGCTGGAGCTGTTGCAGAGCTCCCTGTGTTCTTTGGGCCTCGCTCCATGACCTGCCTGTCAAATATTCGGGGCTGTTTTTCCCCAGTGGCTGAAGGAGAGGGAGAAGGGCAGAACTGGAAACTCTGAATGTTGTGTTCTTGGGGTTTTTTTTCCCCCTCAGTCAGCTTTGTGCTTTGTTCTTTGCTCTTCTACCCTTGTTCCTAGTCTGTGGCTTTGTGCTGGCCAGGCATGATGCTCCTCAGCTACTGCAGCTTGGCAGTGGTGTGTTGGGATGGCTTTGGCAGGACAGTGGGATAAACTCAGTCCCTTCTGCTCCAGCTGTGTTCACACATCTGCAGGGATTGAGGCTCTCACTGTGCTCTAAAGCTCTTTTGGTCAATGTTTTTTGCTATGGGTTGTGCTCCAGATTGTCCCCCTGGAAAAGGCAGATATTTTTGGAGGAGATCGATGAGCACAGTGAGATCTGGGATAGCAGAAACCAACTGAGAGTGGAGGAGAGGTTGCTGAAAGGCGAAGAAAAGCAAAAATAATAATGCCTGGACATCAGCATCCTGAGGGTGATGGTTTCCAAGGGTGTTTAGGGAAAATCTGCCAGGTGGAGGGGGGACAGGAATAGCATGGACAGACCTCAATTTCATAGAGACTTGCTGATCCAGAGCAAATCCACCTCTCCTGCCCTTTCACTTGACTCCCTTTGTGAGCACAGATGCAGCAGGGCCAAGAGCACAGGGAAAGGAACAATGCCTTGCCTCTCATAGCAATGGGATAAGGACAGGGGCTGAGTACAGTTACCCAAGAAAACTCCTAAAAGAAAGCCCAAGGCCCATTGTACCCTGCCCAGAGCCCTCTGCAGTGTAGAATTTATATGATTTAAAAGTAGCTTCAGTGCTTGACATAAGTAGCTGCAATTGCTGGGCCACAGGTTGAACTTTAACTGAACCACGTGGCTGTGCTGTGTCAGTCAGAGATGGATCAGAGTGGAACCTGGGGAATCTGATCATTAATAATAGTAAAAATCGTTACTAATAGTTAGAATAGACAAAGCTGCAGCTTAAATATTACTTAAAAATTGATAGCTGGAGCAAACAGCCCATAGATCGTGGTCTGTGAACTGTAACAACAGTGTCTGTGGAGTAACAGAAGACACTGAACCCTCACCAAAACCTACCTCAGGGGCTGAAGCAACAGTTTGGTACTGTAACAGTGAAGCCATGAGGAGTGGAAAGGACCCCAGCCCCTTATATAGCTGTTGGTCAGGACTGTCATGTGAGGGAGGGGGAATGAAGGTTGTAAGGGGATAATTGCCCAGGGATTTCTTTGTTCATGGTCCCGCTTTTGAGGCACCAGCTCGAGCAAGCAAATACCAGAATTGTCTGTGCCAAGAAATATATCAAACAGGGGGAGAGCCTCAGGTCAAAAATTGCTGCTGCTTGCAGCCCTGTTCCTGTTGGACTCGGTGATCCAGAATATTCTGCGATTCAGCACAGCATCCCCCCTGCCTTGCCTGGCTGCTGGAGTCAGCTCAGGAGGTGGGGGGAGACCAGGGAACCACCACGGTTGGAAAAGTGACCTTTATTTAAAAAATAAAAAGAGCAATAAACCGCAAATGTTCTGCAACAAACCCCTTGTGATATACTTGTCACAACGCGTGTGCGGTGTCCATGCTGACCTCTGCGAGGGGTGGGGGGACACCGGGCAGTCCCTCAGGGCTGGCAGCCACGTCCCTGCTCCTGTCCCGGCCAGGAAGGCACTACCCGGCTGGAAATGTCAAGCCGGAACAGGGACCATCGCCCACAGCAGGCACTTCTCTGGGTCCACGAGTTCCAGCCTCTTTCTACCTCCTGGTCCAGCTGCTGGGGGGCTGCCCCCTCCCCAGGGTGATGGGCAAGTGCAGCTGGAGAGCCCGGGGGAAGCCGTTCCCAGGACAGGGCTGGCGCGGAGTGTCCCTCGCCGGGAGCACGGCGGTGCCCTGGGCTGCAGGAGAGGAGCTCGGAGCTGCTGAGGTGAAGTTGCTCCCGAAAGAAGGTAAAACGAACCCAAATGAGACAAAGAACTGGCAGTGCATGGTGGGGTGTGGAGTCAGTCCCTGGGCTACACCAGCCCCGCTGCCTTCTCCTGCACGTTGTACTCCTTGCTCCTCTTCACCTTCCAGCTGATGAGGGCGAGCAGGACGGTGCCCACCACCTTGTAGCCCACCTGCAGCCCCAGGTATCTGCCAGGAGAAGAGCAGGGAGATGCCGTGTCCGGAGGTGGCACCTTCAGCTGGCCCCAGGCTGAGCTGGGGACCATCCCTGTGGCCAAGGCCGCCAGGGGGGACAGGGCACAGGTGCCAGGGGTACCTGTTGCGGAGGAAGTTGTTGTTGTAGTAGGCACAGAACCGGCGCTGGGTGCACTGCTGCTGCCAGTAGATGCAGGACGAGTCGATGAGCGCTCCGAACATGGCTGGGGCTGGCAGCCAGGCTTGGGAGAAGAGAGGACGGAGTCAGGCTGCTGTCCCTGACGAGGTTCAACACCTCCTGGGGCTCCAGCAAACCTTCACTGCTCCCCTCAGTCTCATTAGGAGATGGACACTCACCCAGCAGCCTCATTAGTAAGAACTGGACGCCGATGGCAAACGACTTCTCGTCCTGGTTCACCACCCTGCAAGGGAGAAGCCACAGGAGGTCAGAGTGGTGGTGCTGGCTCTGGGTTTGGTCAAGACATGGGCTGGTTGCACATTTATGACATCCCATGGATCCCAATGTGGGGAACCATAACATCACACTCCCCCCTGTGACTCCTGTGTGCCCCCACCCAGTGCTCACCGTAACACCATCATGTAGAGGGGGTTGTGGGACAGGCAGGCGACCAGGGCAGCGAAGGAGATGAGGAATATGGCAGGAAAGAGCATGTCAGAGCAGCTGAGCGGACAGGAGCCTGAGTACAGCTCCTTCCCAGGAGGGATCTGGGAACAGTTCTTGTAGATCTGTTGGAAACATTTGGAACAGAACAAACATAAAACTCCCAAAGCCAAGAGCAGGGATTTTAGTGACCCATCAGACCGCAGCCCTTTGCAGGAGACTGACGAGAGCATCATCTCCAATTTTAAGGCCACAGCCATGGCATCCTGCAATGGGATGTGCCATCATCCCTGTTTCTCCAAGCAGACTCCCAGGAATTCTCCATGGCACCTTCCCAGGACTCCAGCTCCCTGGTAGACTTCCCAGCACACTGTGCCAAAAAGGTTCCACCCCCTTGTTGCATCTGTCAGGTTCCTGCAGCATCACTCCCCTGTCCCCAGCGAGCAAAGGTTCAGGCTGCTTTGCAAACCACGTGCTTTACTCACCACTTGGTTGGGGTTGGAGGAATTGATGGTGCTGCTGGTGCAGCCAGCGAAGCAGGGCGAGATGTACTCCTCCTTGTTTTCCCAGCACACCGGGTGGAAGATGTGCTTGGAGCAGCGGCACCCACTCGGCTCCTTAACCTGCTGCTGGGAACTCAGTGTACTGCCAAAAAGAAGGAGGGAAAAATGGGGAAAAAATTAAGAAATAGGACAGAAAGAAGAAAAATAAAAGTCTCTCTTACTAGCTGACCGGTTTTCCCGTTCCTGTTTGGACTGGGACACTGCCAGCAGCAGCCTGGCCTCCTGCCAGCCCCTGATCCCCGCAGGTACCTCTGGAAGTGTACAGTGAATGTCACAGGAATTATGTTATGTCTCCAAACAAGTACTCACACACTTCTTTTTTTCCTTTTTTTTTCTTTTTCCTTCCCTCCCCAGCTGAAAACTAATCGGCCAAACTCCTGGAGAAATGGACCTGGGCTCCATCCAGAGCTGCACAAGCAGCTGTGCGAACAGCCCCAGCTGGAAACACCCCACAGACACAAACTGGAAGTGGGCACATTCCCAAACAAGCCTGATGACAGCGAGGACAAATCCAGTGATCTGTGCTATCTTTCCTTCATACCTGAGGGAGTGCATCTGCTAAGGGGCACAGCCGGAATCCTGCAGGAATGTGGCACAAGGGAGCTGTCCCTGGGCAAGGTGGGATGGGGCTGCTCCATCCCTGCAGGAAAATGGCACCAGAAACCCTAACCCTAACCCTTGCTGGCATTTCCACTAGGAAATGAGCACAATGAACTTGATATCAAGCCTTGGTGGTATCTAAATATCATTTTTATCTTAAAAAGTCATGGTAAGGGTCAAAAGTATCCACTGAGGTGCCGAGAAAGGTGATGTCCAGCTCGAACACAGGAAGCGTGTGAGGTGATGTGGACACAGGCACTGATATTACTAATTTCTCCCTAAAAATCCAGAGTGAAAAATACATCCTGCTTGTCTGGCATAGAAAATCAGGGATAAATGACCTCCCAAGCTCTCTGTGCTGTGAATTGCATGGATCAACTCCAGTCAAATGGGATGAAGGAGCAAGCAGCAGCACGGCAATGTCTACTGCCTCTTCACCTGCATGTATCCCTCCCCATGGACAAGCGGGACAAGGGCTGGAGAAACAGGGAGCTGGGAGCAGCCCAACGACCTGCATTACCTGTGGGGGTAGATGCCCTTGATGTGCCCTGTGGAGCAGCCCATGAAGAAGATGGGGAGGCAGAGGAGGATGGAGAACATGAGCACCACCACAGCGAAGCGGGGGATGGCCCGCAGGGAGAAGGCAAAACGTTTCATGATGATCCCTCCTAAGAGCATCCCAAGCGCTGCTGCCGGCAGGTTCACGGCTCCTGCAGGGAAATGAGGGCATTAGGGGGGTCCTGCCTGCCCAGCACCCCTCCCTGGGCAGGGGGTGCCTGTGTGGACCTCGTGGGAGCTGGAAGAGCCCACAAATCCCACCGTTATCCAAGGCAGCCTAAGGTAGCTGGGAAACCTCAGGCCAGGAAAGTCACCAACCACCCCAAGGTGAACCCCAGGTCTCACTTAAAAATGAGCTTCCAGTGGCTTCTCCTGCAAGAATTTAAAAATTCTGGGGAATACAGGAGGGTGGGTCTGTGCTGATGGGTATTTTTTGCCTCCATCCGTGCTCACCTATGAGGAAGTTGGCCTGGGAGGGGGAGGCACCGTACTGCTTCTCCAGGAATTTGTTGAGGAAAGTGGCCAGACCCGCAATGACCGAGGAGAAGCTGCACTGAGCCAGCACCAGGAGGATGAAAAGGGGGTTGAGCAGCAGCCTGAGGAAGATCTTCGGGAATCCTATGGGGAAACAGCAGGAAAAATGACTTTCAGCCATGTGATCCTCACGCCAGCAACTTGTACTGGGAAAAAAACCCCACCCTTAGGCTGTTCCCAGCGAGGATGTCTGTGGGACAATGACGATCTGCTGGGGATGTCTGCGGCCATGGGAAAGTGGGATGTGTCTTGGCAGCTGGCAGGACTATGGATGAACACAGTGTTTTCCTGGGGGGACATTGTGTCCCCCGGCTCTGTCAGCAGAGGCAGACAGACTCCAGCTCTGTTTATTTGGTCTCTAATGAGATTTTCTAATTAGCAGAGAGTGCTGGGGAGAGCCGGCATCATCCATCAAAACCCCGTTGAGATGGAGAAGAGGGAGCTGGCAGCTCCAGGATATGACTGTGGTGGATGGAGAGGGAAGGAGAGAGGAGGGCCTTTATCTGGGAAGAAATTGTCATGGAGATAAAGGGAGTCATTAATCTGGTCCCTCACCATTGGCATCCCTCTCAAGCCCATTTCGGCTACACATAAACAGAGCAGTGTCAGCTGCAGTGGGGTGACCTCCTCGAAGGGGGGGCTGGTGGCGCCAGCAGCCCCGTGCCCACCCATGGAGTTGGGGCCCCTTTTCCAGCACACACCATTTTAAGGTCCTCAAACCAATCATCAAAAACAGCTCAGGCCCCACAGACGTCAGCACTGCTTAGAGCAAGAGGAAGGCTGTGTCCCCCTTCCCTTAGGGCAGGACATGCTGCAGCCCTGGAGGCGCCAGAGCTGGCCCTGGCATTGCCACACAACACCCCTCAGCTTGAAATACCATCATGGAGGTGCCCACCCGCCCACCCTCGCCTGGACGTGCCAGCCCTTTACTTTTTATAAACTCCAGCAGGGAGGTCTCTTCAGCTGCCCCTGTCTCCATCTTCCTGAGCATTCCAGCCTCCCCGTTCCGGTCCTGGAGAAGGGGAGAGGGGCAGGCTGTGGTGAGAGGGGAGCACCCATGGGTGGTTGGCACCATCCTGGGGTGCAGCGAGGCTGTGGAGGGGCAAGGTGTGTCCCAGGTGCCTTTCAGCCCCAGCCAAGCCTGATAATCACAGCAAAGCCCCATTCAACCTGGCCTGGAGCACTTCTCTAGGCTGGGAGAGCTAGGAGTGTCCAGCCTGGAGAAGAGAAGCCTCCAGGGAGACCTTAGAGCCCCTTCCAGAGCCCAAAGGTGCTCCAAGAGAGTTGAAGAGTGACTTTGGGCAAGCCATGGAGTGACAGGACAAGGGGAGAATGGCTTCCCACTACCAGAGGGCAGGATTAGATGGGATATTGGGAAGAAATCCTTCCCTGGGAGGGTGGTGAAGCCCTGGCACAGATTGCCCAGAGAAGCTGTAGCTGCCCCTGGATCCCTGGAAGTGTCCAAGGCCAGGTTGGACAGGGCTTGGAGCAACGTGGGCTAGTGGAAGGTGTCCCTGCCCACAGCAGGGGATGGAATGAGATGAGCTTTAAGGTCCTTTCCAGCCCAAACCACTCTGGGATTCTATGACTGGGTGAATTATCTCAAACTTCACTGCAGCCCCTGAGCAGAGTGGCAAGACAGTTTTTCCTGCTTGGAGAGGCTTTAAGAAGTTGGAAAGCTTTCCTTTCCTGAACCCTGGCAAAAGACCTCTCTTTTAACTGTGCAAAAAGTCTGAAAGTGAAAGTTGGAGTCAGCTCGGCTCAAGTCTCGTGAGTCCTTTAGCCATAACCATGAAATATTTTGGGTTTGATTTTGACCTTTAAAGAATGGATGATTAAACAATTTCAAAACAGAATTCAATTACTTTTGTGACAAAACCAGATTGGGGCTTGGCTTTGAAAACACCAACATGAGAAATTTTAATAATTTTGCATCTTTTAAAATCTGTTTTAATGGAAAGGTTTGCTGGGCTCTCTTCCTCCCCCACAACCCCCACCCTGGGGACAGGTATTCCCTCCCCGAGCGCTTCCCTGCCTCCAAGTCATTCCAGCCTATGGAAATGAGGTCTCACCTCTCCTTTCAGCATGTACCGAGGGAAGAAGAAGTAAGGGATGGAGGTGAGCACCAAGCAGCCTGAGGAGATCAGCAGCCCCAGCCACCAGGCTCCAATCCACCGCTGGTCCCCCGGCATCAGGCGCAGTGTCGCTGCAAGACACGAGGACACACTGTAAGAGCTCCAAGGGTAAAAGGGGCAAACGTCCATGAAAATATGGACTGGTGGAACAGAAAGGGTCCCTGTGGGCACAGCCCAAGGATCTCTCCACTGGCATGGAAGAGTAAATGGACAGAGGTGGAAGCTCCCACCGACACTGGCAGCAAGACCAGCCCTGGTTGTGTTTTCCTTTCCCTGGCCAGGACCCTGCACAGCCACTCATCCCAACTGTGCTGAGCCTCCCAAATGGCTGCAGGATGGATTTAGTCAGCATGGAAGCACACTGCTGGCACAGGTTCAGCTCTTCCCCTCTCGAGCCAGCCCGTCAAGTGGCGATTACAGGGTCCAGCTCCATCCTCCTCCTCTGGGAGTATACAGTGGGTTTGGAACACACTGCCTGCCAGGGATGCTGAGCCAAGACAGGGACCAGGAAAGGCCACAGCTACTTTCCTGGAAAAAATTGCTCTCCCATTGTTCCAGGCTCAGTCACTCTGTGGTTGCAGAGACCAAGGGAAGGCCCCGTGCCAGCAGACAAGCGCTGCTAATGAGCCCCATATCCGAGTGGACAAAACCCTGGGCGCCTTCTCCGGAAACAGGAGGAGAAGGTGAGAGCTGCTCCGTCTCCAGCGGAGACATCCTTGGGCTGGGCTGAGAGATGCTCACGGGAGGTTTGACAGATTGCTTGGCTTGGCATGGGGCCCACAGCTCCCCGTGGCCGGGATGTGGTGGCTGGAAGGAACCAGCGGCAGGCTCCAGGTGGGAGACCTGTGCCAGGGTGTGGCAGGAGAGGAGCCCACATCCCACTGGAACAATCGTCCCACTTCCCCAAATGGGACCACTCCACTCTGGAGCTCGGACATTATCATGGAGTGACCAGGCAGAAGCTGCCAAATCCATCTGCCCCCCACGGGGAACAGGCCAAGGCTTTTTGGAGCTTCCTGCCCAGGTTCATTTGTTATTCTTATCAGGCATCGGACAAAAAAGTCAGGCAGGCTCTGATCTCTCTGAGGAAACACAGGAAGAGCCACATAAATGATGGAGCTGGGGAGAATTCTTCAGTGATTAAGTTACCAGAAACAATAAGCATGTGCTGCTGATAAACAAAATTATCCCTGCGGTGGCGCCGGCTTGGTCCCTCTCTCTCTGCTGATGCTGGTGAAGGGTGGTGGGGAAGAGGATGAGCAGACTCAAGCCTCCCATGTATCCATAGGGCAACAGTTGCCCTATAGTTGTTTTCTCCATCCCTGGATGCTTCAGTTGTCCCTGCTCCTCTCCACCACCGTGCTGGGGTCGTGTGATACCTCCTCAGTGTGGTGGCAGTGGGCAGACCCAGCCATGACAACCAGTGCAGCACCATGAGTTTAGCTTGTCCCTACCACAGGCCTCTGCTTCAGTGGTGGCTTCAAGACCAACTGTATCCTTCTTCATGGGATGATGGAGTAGAGGAATGTGGTCTTTCCATGGCAGTGCGTTTTACAGGTCACAGGACTGGTGGCTTCTGTCACCTTTGGTTTCACAGTGACCTTCTGACTCACAGGAGGTTTTTAGGACCATCCCTACTTGAGAAATACTTACCAGTGTCGACCCTCCCGATGTCCACAAATAGCCGCAGCACCACAGATCCCAGCAAGTATCCAAAAGCTGGTCCAAACACGGCGATGGCAAAGAGGATGGCTGGGAAAAGGGAGCAGAGAGAGCCAGTGTGAGCAGGGAATAGTAGTTCCAATGCAAATATGGTTTCTGTCTTCCCAGGTGAGGCAGGAATGATAGTGCTACATAGAGAGGGGAGAAACCACCCTTTAGCACCTGGTAGATTATGAGAAGGTGCCCGTTGCTCAGCCACTGAAGGTGGTGTTTATCTAACAGGAACAGGAGGGGGAAGGCAGCTGCTGCAGAAAAAGTCCCTCTGCTCTGCTGCAGTCAAGGTTTTTCTGGGACACTAAAAGTTGTCAGCTACACCGTGAATATCTGTGATCCACTGGGACAAAGTGAGGAACCCCTGGGAGCAGCAGGACAGTGGCGTCCTGGGCTCCCACAGGTGATGGAGACCTTCACCTCCTATAGGAGGCCAGCGAAACAAACCCATCCCAGTCCTCAAATACAGGCACAAACCTTTAGTGCAAACATCAGGGGAAGTGAAAGATTCTGAGAGCAAGAAGGCCGGCAGACCACCCTGGGTCCAGCTGAACCATCCTGTTCCAAAACAGACAACCTGCACCCAACCCGTAAGGTCAGAATGTTTCCTTTTGACTCATTTGGAATGAAAGGATCCAAGTTCCCTCTTTGAACGAAACACTTTGCACAACATTCTTAAACTATTCGAAAGGAAACAGTGTCTTGAACTGCACCAGCCATAAAATGAAACCAGACTCAGGGCGATGGCATTTATCTTGTACTGAGGCAACCTGGACCTCCAGTAGCCCTGAAGTGACCATCTGTATTATACACAACACACCAGTCCCATTTTCTTCATCTTCAGAACCTTTCATGGTCCTTCAGTCCCCTTTCCTTCATTTTCCTTACAGGTCTGGGAATTCAAATGTCACCCAGAGGTCATGGGAATGGCAGCCCCTCACTACAGGGGGAAGACAAGGATGCTTGGGGCTTGGAGCAATCTGGTCTAGTGGATTATGTCCCTGCCTGTGGCATAGGGTTGGAACTAGATGACCTTTAAGGTCTCTTCCAACCCAAACCATCCTGGAATTCTATGATTCTGTCCCTGCTTTTACCAGCCCAATGAGCTGAGAGGAGCGAGCACTACCCACACGTGAGACTCTGCAGTGCTCTTTGGTGGTGCGGCAGAACTTTCCCGGAGCAAAGCACCCCTGGGAGGATCTGGAGACCCTGCCAAGCACTCCAATGCTTGTCCAAAGCCTGTCCTTGGGAGTTTAGTTCCAAAGGCTTTCCTTCTCCTCTAGTGCTTACCTTATTTTGGGACATCCGCTTTCGACTCCTAAATCACTCTGACACCTTTGGCTGCTCTAAAGACATTGTTTGGCACCAGGAGGAATCAGGTTCTTAAATAACTTATGGACTGAGCTTAAAGCTCACGTAGGCAGGTCAGCACCAGATGGGGTTTGACATTCATAGGAGATAAAACACAATTTGATGTGGAAGCGAGGACCTCTCTCTTTGCAATCAAGAATTCCTCCTGAGCCTGGGAGCCCACATCGGTCAGGGACCGATTCCATGGCAAAAGTTGATTTTGGACCCTTGATATAAAACCTGTGTTAGTGGGCTCTTGCAGGCTATCATATTGCTGGTTAAACCATGACCAATCAGTGCTCAATAAGAACAGGAGATGGTCTCTGAGAAGCTTTCATTGCAACTTTTCTCCACCATGAATGGCACAAGATCTCACAAATGCAAGGGAGAAGTCCCAGCTCATCCATCTCATCTCCTTGCCCTGATTTTTTGGCTTCCTATCACCCACTTCATAAACATAACCCTACAGAGAACAGCTGACTGTCAAGGGGAGAGACAATCTGGCTTTTTAATCAGGGAGGATTTTGTCTGAGTCCCTCTGGCTGCTCAATTTGTGTCCATGGGTTCCTCTCCAGATAAATACCTTGATATCTCACCTGTAAGGTCTGGAGGAGACAAAATACACAGCAATGGTCCCACTTACCAACGTACAGAGGGGAATTGTTGGCCTCTGCGAAGTCATCCACGTAGGATATCCCAAAGGGCTGGATGGGGACAGTCCCGATCCCGGCCAGCAGCTGGGCGATGACCATCATGGCCCACATGCTGTTGGCCTCCTTCTGGGGGTCATGGGTGGTGTTTGGGCACACAAACTTATTCTCTGGATAGCAGAGCTCAGCCTGCCCCTGGCTTTTGTTACCTGAAAGGGAGAAAAATGAGCATTACAACACTGGGCACATCCTCTGCCTCCTCCCACACTAAATCCCAAAATAGCAGGACTCTCCAAACCTGCTGGATTTTGGATGGATTGCTCATTTTATTTACAGTTCTCCTTGCCTTGCCCTTCCTTTGGAGTATTACACTGAGGTCAGGGCAGCAAACAACCAGGCTGTGATTTTAATCAAACTTTTAGAGTTCATGGCATGGAGTTCTCAGTTTAATGAGGGCAAACCTAACCCATGGCTGGTTTTTGTTATCTGTGGTCTTTGCTCCCCTGTGGTACCCAGACAGGAACGGGGGTGATGCCCTCTGGGGTGACCTGGCTTCCCTGAGGACACTGTCCCTGAATCTCCATTGCCCTCCTTGTTCAGGCTCCTTCCAAAATATGGTTCTTGCTTCTTCATACAGTCATCTGAAGACCATGGGGAGGTCTTCAACCTGCTCCAAACCACTGTGAAAACTCCAACCTGGACTGGAGCATATTCATGGGCTGTTGACAGGGTTAATTTGTTCTATTCCATTGCCCAGCAATCCTCATAATGTCAATATCTTTGCCCTGTTAGTCTATTTTTGCACAGTCCATCCTCTAATCTTATTCAATTTAGTGAAGCTGTTCTGCAAGAACTGCACCATGTGCAGAACTTTAGGGTCAAATACAGTTCTTGGTGCTTCCCTTCAACCTTTTCAGTGATTCCTGATTATAATCATACCTCCATGGTTGTACACAAATCTAACACCAGTCAATCAGGGCATCAGCATTACTTGACCAACTCAATTTCCATATAATTCCTGGCCAGTTTCCTTATTGTTGTACAGAACTACCCATACAAGGGAGCATATGGAGCATAAACACTGAGTCAAAACTCACAAAGCTCTGGGCAGGGAGCAGGGTGATACCTGATCCTTCCTCCTGTTTCCTTCACAGTCAGAGCAGCCCCTGTCCCAAATCCTGACCTGTTCATAGCCTGGTGCATGAATTTAAGCTGTTGGAAAATTTGGCATCTGATGCCTGATTTACTCTCCAAACTGTCCGACTCAAAAGCCTTGGGGATGGAGACCAGCAGAGAGCTGGTTTTTGGAGGTGGCAATCCCTGAGGAGACTAAGGGTCATCGGCATCCAAGGATCTAGGTGCTGAAGTCACTTAGGAAAGGCCAAAGCCAGCCTTGTGGCAGGTGATGCAGGTGATGCTGATTACTCTTTCAGCAAAGAAAATAGAGTGTCATCATATACATGAGCTTGTTCCCAAAGCCTGCCCAGTTAAACCAGGAGCCTTCCTTAGTGTGGATCATAAGGTTTATAGGCTAGAGCAGAACAGGCCCTGGGGACGGGAGATCTTTGCTCTATCATAGGATGGTGAGGCCCTGGCACAGGTTGCCCAGAGAAGCTGTGGCTGCCCCATCCCTGAGAGTGTCCAAGGCCAGGCTGGATTGGGCTTGGAGCAACCTGGGCTAGTGGGAGGTGTCCCTGCCCATGGCAGGGGGTAGAACGAGATGATCTCTAAGTCCCTTCCCACCCAAACCATTCCATGATTTTGTGACCACAGCACAGCTGGAATAACATACCCAGGAGAGGCAGAAGCGATCCCACATGTAACTACTGCACTCAGAAGGGGTTTCAAAGACATAATGAACTCAGGCTTAATTAGCAAATTCTGACCTCAAGTCTCTCCCCAAAACACTGTGTCTAAACTGTGTGTGCACTGGACACAACCCCTCTCCTTGGGCAGTCACACCCTAGCCCGGAGCGCCCAGAGGTGGTTCTGTGGTGGCACAGCTCGTGGTCCTTACCGATGCTGAGCGTGGTGTACTCGTAGGGGTCCGAGAGGAAGTGTGGCAGGGTCACCAGGAAGGCCCCCAGCGCCAGCAGCAGCCCCCCCACGCCGATCACCCGCGGGCGGTGCACGCGGCTGCCGAAGTAGCTGACGAAGATGATGAGGACCACGTTGCCGATCTGGAAGTGTCAGAAGACATCACAGAGGGCGTTAAGACCTTATAACTGTGCCCAGTTGGGTGGAGAGCTCTGTTACCTGGTGGTGTTTGACAGAGCAGGAGCGGTGCAGCCTTCACTCTGCACGCTCACAGCGAGTCAGTGCTCCCTTCTCACCTAAAACCAGCAGGGCACCTCCTTGGCTTCTGCCACCTCTGTGCATCCCTTGTTGTCATGAACAACTTCACGGCCTCCCTGTGGTCTGCATGGGGTTTCTTTCAGTACCCACAGCTGTCCCCCACCCCACAGGAATCACAGAATCGTTAAAGTTGGAAAAGCCTTCTAAGATCATCAAGTCCAATCATTCACAGTGCTGCCAAGGCCACCACTAACTCATGTCCCCAGCTGCCACATCCACATGGCTTTTAAATCCCTCCAGGGGTGGGGACTCCACCACTGCCCTGGGCAGCTGTGCCAGGGCTGGACAACCCTTTCCAGGAAGGAATTTTCCCCCATATACAAACTAAACCTTCCCTGGCACAACTTGAGGCCATTTCCTCCTCTCCTGTCACTTGTTACCTGGGAGAAGCGTGACACAAACTATTTCCTACAAAACACATCAAGAAATGAAGGGTGTTGCCTCCATTCCTATGACTCAAACAGACACAAGCCCAGCTACAAGGTCCAGCTCACTGCAAATATTTGTGACTCTGGACATTTGCAACTGCAGATGCAATCAGCTAAAAAGCCATGAAATCACTCAGCTCACTCAGGCAAGTAGGTGAACACCACAAAATTACCATCCAAGGGCTTTGCCAGCTTGGGACAAACTAGACATGATTTTAACTTTGGCATGTTGGAGCTGTCCCTGCTCATTGTAGGGGGTTGGGTTAGATGGCCTTTAAAGGTCCCTTCCAACACATGATTCTATGTATGGCTAAGAAAACTTTCCATTTATGTTTACATGGGCTTTCTTGCTTGTCTCTCCGTGGTTTTTGTTCTTGGAATTACTGCAGGCACCAATGCAAAAAGATTGTTGTCCCGGACAGGCTTGGAAGTCACAGCCAGTAGGGAGTCTCAGTAGGCTCTGAGACAGTCTTTTTACCCCCAAATGTAGGTGCTGGCTGAGGTAAGACCATTCACTTCCCCAAGGACCTAGGAGGATTCCTAGTGCCCAGATTCCTGATGAAGCACCCCATGTGTTCACCAGGGAGCTCATCAGCAAGGTGAGCTGCCACCAAGCACTTTGTCTCTGAAAGCAAAATAAAGTCTCCCCCCGCACGTCTTTTCCTAGTTGGCCTTGAGGAGCTACCAGGAAGGATACAATTCCTGACAATCTGAATGTGCAAACTTATTCCAGAGGAGTTATTGACTGGAAAGGGTTTGTGAGGAAATCCTCAGCCAGCTCAGCAACTTGCCTTAAACTGTGACAGAGGGTGGGGTTAGATGGGATATTGGGAAGAAATATGAGGGTGGGGAGGCCCTGGCACAGGTTGCCCAGAGAAGCTGTGGTTGCCCCAGCCCTGGAAGTGTCCAAGGCCGGGTTGGACGGGGCTTGGAGCAACGTGGGCTAGTGCACATGGCAGGGGTTGGAACTGGATGAACTTTAAGGTCCCTTCCAACCCAAACCATTCTGGGATTCTATATCCAGTGAAAGTCAGCTCTTGGCCACAGGGCCATCACCACATAACCCTACATTCACCCTCCTGGCAGGTGGTAGAGCGGAAGTGAAGTGTGAAGAGGTGTCCAAGTGCACAACAACAGCTGCTTCATCCAGCACACGTGGGCATGGCCAAGGAAGCACTGGGTGTGAACAACCCTGACAGTCTATTTTGGGAAGGTGCCCCCCGTGTTCTGGCCACTCCCAGTTACCTCATGCAAGCTGGAGATGAAACCTGAAGAGAGACTGGAGAGCCCAAAGCGCTTCTCGATGGTGGTGAGGCTGCTCTTGAAGTTGGCACTGTAGAGGAGCTGGGAGAGCTGGAGAAGCCCGTGGCACAGCACAAACACCTGGGGGCAAACAAAATGTGCCATGCCAGTGAGAACCCTGTCAGAATCATAAGCTCAATAATGTTGGAAAAAATCTCCAAGATCATCAAGCCCAACCTTTGACCAAGAACCACCATGGCCACTAAACCATATGGCAAAGTGCCATGTCTACTTGTTTTTTGATGACTTCCAGGGATGGTGACTCCACCACTTCCCTGGACAGCCCATTCCAATGATTAACCACTCTTCCAGTGAAGAAATTGTCTCTAATATCCAATCTGAACCTCTCCATGCACCACTGGAGGCCGTTTGAGGCCGTAGTGCCCGGCTGCTTCTGCATGACTGCTGGTGATCACACCCTGCGGGAGTGGACTCGAGTTGGCTGTGGTCAACGGCTGCACCTCTGACGTGGAACATCCTTGGGTTCACTCAGCTGTAAAGTCCATTAACAGACCCTGCTCCAAGGGCTGTTACTAGAAAAAGTTGCAAAAGGGCTTTAAAATCCCCAGAGGGAAAGGATGAAATATGCACATGGTCTCACTACTGGAAGACCTTTGTAGTATTCCAAAAACAGCATCTTCCCTTGAGCCAGGCTGTGAGCAGGGCCAGGAGCAGAGCTGCATGGAGGCAGAGGAGGGAAAATAGAGAGAGTTTAGGGGGCAGGGCAGAAATCTTGTCCAAAGAACCCGGGTGGCCTGTGAGAGGAAGGCGCTCTCAGTCGGGGATGCAAGAGGCAGCTCACCAGTGTCTTTTGATCTATATTTAGGCAGAACAGTTTTCCTTTATTTTTCTTGGAATGAAATGCCTCTACACGATGCCAAAAGTATTTCAGAATCGTTAAAAAAAAAAAGAAAAAAATAAAACAAAAAAAAGGAAAAGGTCTTTTTTTTTTTAAATTCATAGGAAATCAAATATTTGCTGAATACCGGAAGAGTGTCCCACAAAGATAACGGCGGGAAGTGCGGGATGATGGATGGGGGATCAAAGGTACTGCAGGGCTGACAAATTCCTGATGTCCTTGGCCAGGAGAGCAGGGATACTCCTTATTTGGAAGGGTGGTAGCACCCAGGAGCCCTGACCCCTTAAGTGATGAAAAAAAAAATAAATCAAAAAAGACCAAAATTGTCCACCCAACATGGAGGATGCAAATTCCACAGGTGGGTGGAGTGGTGTTTTGGGGAGCAGAGGAGGATGCCAGGTCCAGCAAATGTGGCAGAATTTGGGTAGAAGGTGGGTAAGAAGATGGTTTCTTTGGAAGCTTCTCCTGCAAGGGAGGAGAGCTCCAGCCAGAAGACCCGGCTGGGTATCTAAAAGCATTAAGGGATAGGAGAGATGCTGACAGACAGGAGGACACAAGAGGATGGAGATGAAGGGAAGGAGAAAATGTAGTCCTGACAGTGCAAAGGCAGGTTGGGAACAAACCTGGAGACAACAGGAAAGTCAAAGGAGACAGGCAAACACCCCAAAAATGAGGAAAGAAGTCTCACAGGGACAGGCTGCCACCACAGACTTCCCAGCCACATCTCAGAGGGGTGACAGCAGACAGGCTGGTACCTGGCTGGCGTCTGGCTGGCGTCTGGCTGGCATCTGGCTGGCATCTGGCTGCCTGGTAACCAGGCAGGAGGGAACAAATTCCCAGGCTGGGACTTTGCCCTGACAAAAAGCCACAGAGCAGTGACATGGGTGTAACGTGGGAAATCCTCCCAGAAAGGGATAAAGTGGAAGTGAAATATCTCCAGTGAACTCTTGAAGCAGAATGACCTCTCCACCCTCTAGCTATCAACTCCCACGCTCAAAACCCCATCCCAGCACACGGTCCTGCGGGTGGTAGCTGGATCCACCACCTTCCCCTTCTCCAGCCCTGAGCTGGGATCACCATGGGCTGGTCTGGAGCAGAGAGGTGACTCCTGCAAGGATGGGAACTGGAGGAGGGATCTTGTTGCCTGAGAACATTAATTTTTGTTCCTGCAGCTCTGGCCAGACCCTGCTGAAGTCTCTGGAGTAAAGAAGCACCAGCTAAACAGTGGCAGGGACCTCCTGAGCTGCAGAGCAGCTGGAGGCAGAGCTCTCCCAGCGTGAGGCGTCAGTCGCAGAGGCAGAGCTGTTTACCAACAGGGAGGGAAGAGGGTGGATCACCCAGGCCGAATTTAGTGCAGCAAATGTCAGCCCAATCCCAGGGCAGATGGAGAGATGAAGTGTTGGAGAGAGAGAGAATGGAAGGATGGAAGGGAAGATGAGGAGGAAAGGCAGCCTGACATCCCAGAATGCTGGAGCTGGAAGGTGATGGGGAGAAGATGGAGGTATGGAAGGACCATGGGAACCACAGCAGGAAAGGAGAGGGACAAGCCATGGTCAGAGAGGGCAGGGGGGAGAAGGCAGATCTGGCAGGAAACAAACCAAGATGTGTTTATGCCTTGGTGATAACCTGGGCATGGACGAAATGGAGCCCTGGATCCTGAGGTGCCTGGGAGCAAGTTGGGGCTGCCTGCTCCCCATCCCACGAGGGAAGGCAAGGTGGGAGAAATGCAGCTGGAGAGCATCCATGAAGGGAGAGGAATATTTTGGGCGTGGCTGCTTCCCCCTAGCCATGAGTCCTTCTAATCTGGCTCCTGCGAGTGGAGTTAACCGGAAAGGCAGCAGAGCCAGAAGGATGCTCCAGGGATCCATCCCACCCTGAGACCACACAGCAGCCTCGGCCCTTGGATGTGGAGAGGCCTGAGGATGGGATGGGAAGGGCAGGGGAGATTTTTTTTCCTTGGGAAGAAGCTGCTACCCAGAACAGTTGGAGCAAAGCAAAACAGCCTTTGCTCTGGGACTTGTGCAGCTGGAGCTTGGCTTTCCCAGACACACTCCGACTCTCTGGAGGTGAGAGCTGTGCCTGATTTAAGACTTCCCCTGCACTCAGCAGACTCAGTTTTAATTAAAACAATGACAGCCCAAACTTTGAAGGCTCTGAGTGGAAATAGTTGGGAGAGGTGATTACTTGGAGGGCTCCCCAAAAGGAGCCTGTGAACGCCCTGAGTCTGGTGGAGATGGGGGCACCACTCTCCCGGATCCCCCTGAAGGTCCTCAAGGGTCTTTCCCATCCCTGTCCTTCTCCCCACGCTTTCCCATCCCCACGTGTTCATGCTGACCACCCACAACTCGTTGGTCCATGGAAATCAGCCCCGACCTGGCCCTTCCAGCTGCAGAGCAGTGGATGTGCTGCGCTGACCCCACGCACCCGCCGAGTGGCCCTGGGAGGGGACGGAGCTGCCACAATCCATCCTCCCTAATGACAGAAAGGGGCTTTTAAGGAAGAGCCGAGCTCGTTTGCCGGGAGGTTTCGCTGAAGCAAAGCCAAGGCGAGGGTGAAGGCACGGTGAGAGGTTAAGGAGCCGGGGACACTCCCAAGTGCTGACCCTCCAGAGCAGATGCTCCCATGAGAGCCTGGCGGATTTTGGAGGCTGCAGGCTAGGAGCAATCGCAGACAGCCAGGGAGCAGCACAGAGAGGCGAAAGGCATGTACCCACATGCATCCACACACAAAATCCCCTCTTGATCATCCCCACACTTCCTTCGGAGCGCCGAAGAAATCCTGACTCCAGGCTGTTTACACAAGACACTTGACTCCTTTCCAAGATGAGCTTCGTTTAGAAAGGAAACAAACTCCTGGGGAAGGTCCCTGGCAGACAGGCTGTTCCCCCCACCCAGCTCGTGGGCACCAGCACCTCCCAGGGCAGTGCTTTTTCTAAAGGAAGATAAACCCACCCTACTGCAGGGAACAGAGGGGACTGGTCCTTCCATGCTCTGGACAAGGAGAGCTGGCAACGATTCGGTCAATCCCAACCCAAGCCTCCTTCAGAGAAGATGCGTCCAACAAATATTTAGATTTCCTTTCATTTCAAAGTGAAATGAAGGTGAAACACCTCTGTGGAGCCTCAAGGAGCCAGGAGACTCCTCCAGGAGCCAGGAGAAAACCCTTCCAGGTGGGAGCCTGGCTGTGCTCTGCAGGGACCAAGGGTTTGGGAAGATGCTGCTACCTGCAGCATGGTTACTGTTCCTTTCTCTCTGCCACCTGGAGGAGGGAGTTAAGGGTTAATTCCTTGCTCTGCTTCCCCAGTTCATGTCCAAAGTCATCTCTTGCCTCATTTTTCAGTGTCTTCCCCTTGGCAGGCCTGGTTGGAGATAAAAAAGGTATAAATGCTGTTGACACTGGTGCTAATCCCTGTGCCCAACAGCCTTTCCACAGCAGTGTGGATGGAAAGAGCTAGGGCTTTGTTAGATGGACACATGGACTGCCTGGGGAGCAAAGTCCCTCACAGTCCCAGGTGACTGATGACACCGAGGTAGGACATTGCCCAGAGCAAAATTAATCTGGCTGGAGTAAACCTTGGAAAAGAACTAGGAACAAGGATGCTCTGTTAGCTCTTTCCCTACACATGGCACTACTGGAGTTGCATTTTAGGCTCCAGAGAGCCTAAAATTGTTTCACTGTGGTGGAAAGTCAGGAGGCATTCCTCCCAAAGCAGGAGACCCCAACTTGCCCACATCTGAAGGCTCCTCCCACTTTAATCTCCTAAACTTCCAAGAGACAAAAAAAAAAAAAAAAAAGGGAGGGGGGAACTGTAGGAATTAATAAGAATACCCCCAAAATTTTAAAAGGGAGAAGACAAGCTGTTTATTTTAGAGCTTGTATATGATCAACTCTTACTACACTGGGAGACTCTCCTGCAGTAGGACAGCTGAGAACACTCAGTCCAAAAGAAATATATCAGCTGGAAAGGGAAAGAACAGGGAAATGCATCCCTTCTCGGCATCGCTTTCCTATGGGCAGCTGCCTGGATTTAGAGATCTAAAAGCACCATGAAAGATGAAAAAAAAAAAAGCAACATTCCCACAGAAGGAACCAAATAGCCAGCACACAGACTGTCCCGCAGCACAGAATCTCTGGGCTCAGCCAAGTGGCAGAAGTTGGCTCCCAAATGTTATTTCTACTGCAAATAATAAAAGAATACAAAAATTAAACTGATCAGGGATTG